GAGTCACCTCAACTTCTGCTTCTTCAGCTTCTAACTCTCCTTTGGGTACCACCTTAGCTTTGATCTGTACAGTTTCTGCCTCCCTTTTAAGGGTCACCTCAACTTCTGCTTCTTCAGCTTCTAACTCTCCTTTGGGTACCGCCTTAGCCTTGACCTGTCCAGTTTCTGCTTTCTCCTTAAGTGTCACCTCAGCTCCTGCTTCTTTAGCATCTAACTCTCCTTTGGGTACTATCTTAGCTTTGACCTGACCAGTTTCTGCCTCCCTTTTAAGAGTCACTTCAGCTTCTGCTTCTTCAGCATCTAACTCTCCTTTGGGTACCACCTTAGCCCTGACCTGTCCAGTTTCTGCCTCCCTTTTAAGAGTCACTTCAGCTTCTGCTTCTTCAGCATCTAACTCTCCTTTGGGTACCATCTCAGCTTTGACCTGTCCAGTTTCTGCCTCCTTTTTAGGAGTCACCTCAGCTTCTGGTTCTTTGGCTTCTAACTCTCCTTTGGGTACCATCTTAGCTTTGACCTGTCCAATTTCTGCTTCTCTTTTAAGAGTCACCTCAGCTTCTGCTTCTTTGGCTTCTAACTCTCCTTTGGGTACCACCTTAGCTTTGACCTGTCCAGTTTCTGCCTCCCTGTTAAGAGTCATCTCAGCTTCTGCCTCTGTGACTTCTAACTGCTCCTTAGGTCCCACCTCAGCTTTGGCCTCTTCAGTTTCTGCCTTCCTTTTAAGTGCCTTGTCTCCTTCTGCCTCCCATTGAATCTGCACTTTTCCCCCTACCTCTTCTTTTCCTACCTCCCCTTTAATTTTAACTTCTCTTTCTGCCTCATCAGTTTCTGCCTCTCCTTTAAGTGCCATCTCAGCCTCTCCCTCTTCAGCTTCTGCCTTTCCTCTGAGTGCTATCTGTTCTTCTTCAATCATTTTCTTTCCTCGAGACAATCCTTTCATTTCTCCCTCTAACTCTTCAGCCCACATCTCTCCTTTTGCCTTTTCCTTCCCTAATGATTCTTCCTTCAGCAATGCCATAGCTTCTAAGCTAGTTTCAGTAGAAAGCTCTTCTTTCTCAATGTCCAGTTTCTCTTCTAGAGGTGCCATTTTGGACATTAGGCTCTCTTCAGTCCCTTTTTCTTTCTCTTTCTCTGAATATGGTTGGTCTGCTGACTTGCTTTCCTCAGTTATTTTTGAATGTTCTTCTTCTGCTAAAATAACCCTTTCGGTTTCATGGTCGAGGAAGGCCTCTTCCACCCTAGGCTCTATTTTCTCGAGGGCTAAATCTTCTGTAGATATGGCTTTCATCCCATTCACATCTTGGTATAACTCTTCATCCCATCTGGATGAAATGCCTTGGATTATTTCTTCCATCTCAGAGGGAACTTTTCTATCACTTCCATCACTTACTGCCTTTTCATCTCTGGAGAGAACATCTCCCACTTGTAATTTCGGTGTTGTAAGTCCTGCTTCTGTAAGGGAAATGGAGCTCAATTCATATTTTCCCTCCTCTATATTTTCATCTTCCCTCAAAAATGTATCATCCTTTCTTTTCTTTTCCATTATGCTAGCTCTTTTTCCAGCCTCTACTGTATATTTTTTCTCTTGAAAAGTTACCTTTTCTTCAGGTTCAGTTTCTCCCACCTTTTCTTGTACCTCCCCTATAGTAATCTTTTCTGCAAATGTTGCCTCCAAAGCTTCTTTTGTCTCATATTTTCCTTTCACACTTTCTTTTGCTTCATGCATGTCTCTTTCCACCATCTTAATTCCTCCTAATTCTCCCGTCTTTAAAACTTTTGATGCCTCAGTTACTTCTTCTGTACTTTCTTCTGCCTCAGGGGTCTGCCATCGCACATATTCTTCTCTCTTAGCTGCTCCTGGCTTACTAAACTTTGTGTCTTCAACTTTTTCCTCTTCTGATTCAAATCCCCCTAGAACCTCCTCTCCGTGAGCAGCTTTATGTTTTGTTGCCATTCTCTCTGCTTTTGCCCTGCTCTCAGATGTTATTTCTTCCTGGGGTGTTATTTCTTTTTCTATACTGGCCAGGTCTGATTCTATGGGTTTTTTCTCCCATTCTGTTTTACCTGCCACAAGTTCAGGCTTTACTGCCTGGTCTGCTCTAAGGCTTGCTATATTTTGGGCTAGCAATTCTTCTGTTAGAGCTGCTTCTTTGGGGCTTTCCCCATCTACAGGCTCCTCTTCCTCAAGTACTCTTTCCTTGTCCACCATCTGTCTCTCTTTTTTCATTTGCTTGGCAGCCTTCTGTGATTCAATTCTTCCTGATTGTTTTGCCAAGGAAGCTCCATCTGGTACTATTAAAATAAGCACAGTATGAGTTGTAATTGTGACAACTTTATCAGTTTGGCATTTTAAAAAATACATTGACATATATTTCACCTGCCCTTGTTGACTCAGCCATTTTGAGTGGATAGCCATTGGTGGCTTTGCTTCTTGGATTAACTTGACAGCAGCTGATTTGTGAAGGATGCTGCAGTACAATGGTAAACTGGACAGGTTAATTTTATGGTCCCACATTATTCTACATAAGTTAAGAGTGTCAAGGAATCTTGCTCTACTATGGCTCATAATTAGTCTAGTTTGCAAGCTGCCTGGTATTCCTCCTATATTACTAACTTTGCTGGTGCTTCTTTTACACATAACATTGTCAGAAAAGCCTTCCTTTTCCAAGAGAACTGACTACTACAAAGTATTGAAAAAGACTGGCCTTATTACTGAAGTTGGAGTACAAAAATGATAAATCAATATGACATTCTTCAGTCCAGAAAAGGTCCATGAAAAGAAAACAGTTTTAGAAGATTTGAATTATAGGAATAGAAAGATTTTGAAATGCATTAAATCAAACATTAAAGGTCAGTGTGTACACACACATATCCAAGAATGATATATCTTGAACACAAATGTGGCCCTACATCAAAATACCTGGGAATTTATTCTAAAATCAAATACTTTAGATACATCATATTCTAGCCACTAGATAATAAGCCCAGTCTTAGTTGCTGAAATGAAATTATTGGCCACCTTCCCATGGTTTTGTGTCTATATAACTTCAAATACAAGCATAAGGGGGAAAATGCATGGATTGAATAACTGACATAATTACTTCTTTCCAAGAATTGTAATGTTTCCAAAAATTTCATTCCAAAAATTGTAATGTTCTCGATCCCCTGGATCTATCATAAAACAATTCCTAGCCTTTAAAAAAAGGATATGGAAGTACATTTATAAATATACATTTAAGTACATATGAATGTGACTTTTCATGTAGTTAAAACAAGTAAATTAAAAAATGCCAATTAGTAGGATATGAGAAATAACCACATGGGAACAAGAACAAGGTGTCTACAAGGGGTTAAAAAGTTAAAATGGGGGCCAAAACCCACAATCAAAGTCCTGTCCCTTTTTAATGTTTGTTGTGTGACACATGTAAAAAAGAGGCAGATCTTCAATCAAATGGTTGCTGCTCCCATCTTGATTTTTTGACCCCTACCTGCAAATGTATCTGACCAAGAATCCATATAACTGCTTTCTATAAATATCAGCAGAACAACATAGGATCTGGCCAGGAAGAATTGTGACGTACAATAAAATATTCTGGCCTGGATGGGAGTAAATCACCATTTTGTGAAGCCAGAAAAAAGACAACAGAAAAAGTAAGAGCGTGCCATTATCAGAATATATTACAGAAAAATAGTGTTAAGCCTATTTGAGAATAATGACTCCTAATTTATGTGGGATTTGGGATTTACTTTTCCCACTGATTTCAGTGAGAATTATGTGTAACAGGTAATGCAGGACTATATATAAACATAATGTCCAGTGGACTTTAATGGGATTTATTTCTGGATTGTTGCCTAATTCTGTTTATACTAGTCTTTTTCCTTTAATTGGAAATACTAGTCAATGTACTCATTATCAATTATGTTAAAAAATCCAGTCATAAGGATAGAAGAAGAAATATATAAATATCTGACAAGATTTCATGCTAAGGATTAAGGAAAATATTATAATGGAATCTATAATAAGATAGATTCTTATAGACTTTTCTAACCCGTATGCTTGTATAATTTCAGTACTTGGCACTAAAAACTATTGGAGCTGAAGTGCTGATAGCATCCATCTAGACCTTTATGCTGTATGTGACTTTCAGCGAACAATGCAATCAAATCAGACATATCTTGGAATCAAAAATTGCTTCTTAGGGGAACAGAGCAAAAGAAAGTGCTTATAATTCAGCCAGGGGAATAAGGAAAAAGAACAGCAGCATTATTAAGAAAACCTCCATTTGCCTTGTGACAAAATGGTTTATTGGAGCCAAATTTGTATGGTATTGTATGAAGTGGAAGAAAGCATCTAAACTGTTACCTGCTGGTCAGTCTCATCAAGAGGCTGCCAGGCTAACATGTATCTCAGTGTTAGGGATTTGGATAATTAAGGCCCAAACTAGACATTATGGAAGACAGGAAACTGATACTGACCTTCATTTCCTCGTAACATCAAATAAAACTCCACATCCATATATATTCATAGGTGGTACTTCCTTGCTCTTCATGAACATTAATAACATGATTTGTTGAATAAGTCCCAAGTGAAGGTCACACATAATACTAAGCCATAAAGCACAGTTTACGAACCAAAATTGCTGGGTTCCCACAATAGGCAATGGGAACTGCATAAAGTATATTGAAAATATGATTGCACCACCTGATATGCATATAATACTTCCCCTCTAACAATAGCATTAAAACTTGTCGGATATTTATATTTTTCTTCTTCTATCCTTATGACTGGATTTTGCATGGCTGAGATTTCAAATCACTATCAGGTAGAATAAGCCAGCTGTTAAAAATTTGACTTGGACTCCACCCATTCTTAAAACACTCTGGAACAGGAGCTGGGCATTATATATGGAGGCCCAGAAAGCTGCTTTTGGGGGTTTCTCAGAGGTTTCAATAATTTAAGACAACTTCATCTCAGTATTATTTTTTTTCTTATAGTGTACAGCTGTAGAAGAACCTGACTTGTGACCTGAAGTTTACCTTTTGCTCATGTGATAGCAAAATTCCCAGCCAATATGCTCTGTAAAATTGTTGGATAATGTAAGACATGAGGAAGCAATCTCTGTCTGGTGGGAAGGGGGGGTCTTTTTTTTTTTTTAGTTGACTTCCAG